ACCCTGAACGGCACCAAGTGACTCAAAAGGCTTTTCTGGAGCTGCTCAAACTTTGGAGTTTCTCCCTGTGGTGCCAGGATTTAGGTTGCTTTTCCTTTTGCAGTGTGGTTTAGGGACTGGAACAGGGGGGATTCTCTCTCCATTTTCCCAAGGAAAAGCTGTTGGAGAAAGCAATGACGTGGGAGCCGAGGTTTGGTGCTTTATGAGGTGCCTGTGCTGTTCGAGGCTGTGCTAACCCAGCCTTGGCTGCAGGCTGTATTGATCCCTGTCTGGGCAGCTGCAGCCCAGCTGAGCCCGGCTTTCTCCTCACCCTGGATCCCCGCCAGTGAGACATGATGGCAATGGAAATCAGGGCAGTGAGAGCAGAGGGATGGGGGGACACATCAGACAGATCCGCACTGGGTGCATCCCACCCGCTGGTGTTGGAGCATCCCCGTGCACCTGGGATTGACCCCTTGGGCTTCCATGGATGCCGGGAACATCCTTTGCTTCCTGTGTCAGCACCTTCCCTCCCTAAAAGCTCTGAGGGGTTTGGTGCTGTGGGGGGTGAGGGTTGTTGATTGCAGGATGTAGCCCCAGCATCCTTCTCCCATAGCCCAGCATCCTTGTCCTGTAGCCCCAGCATCCTTCCTGGCACAAATCCTCTGTGCTGTGGTTGCTACCAGGATGCTTGGAGGGGCTGTGGCTGCTCAGGGAGGTTTCCATGTCCCCAGAGGGGCTGTGTGCTGATGGGTGCAGGTGTGAGCACCCATCCCCTTCTTCCCCAGCAGCATTCTAGTGTCTTCCAGAGCAGAAAGAGAGGATCCACCGGGGTGCTTAATGAACCCCATATGTGTCTTCCCTTCCCCGATGCTCATAGGGGGATATGCCACTGAGGAAACCCTTCATTTTTGGTGCAAAAGTGCTCAGTTTGAGGGAATTTGGGGTTTTGGCATCTTTGGGGGCAGAGAAGAGAGGTGCAAATCCCAAAATCCCTGTTCCCCTTCCTGCCTTTGCAGAGCAAATCGTGGAGAAGGACGAGGGGCCCTATTACACCCACCTCGGCTCGGGGCCCACCGTGGCATCCATCAGGGAGCTTATGGAGGAACGGTAAGGAATTGGGGGGCCCGAGGGTGAAGGGGAGACTGAGGGGTCCAGTGAGGGAAATTGGGGGTCCTGTGAAGGTGAATGGTGTCTGTGAGGATGAGCAGGGGCTCTGAGGGTGTGTGGGGTCCTGGGGGGTCATGTGAAGATGAGTGGGGGCCCAGGAGGGGTCCTGTGAGCAGAAATGGGGTCCCATGAGGTGAGTGGGGGCTCATCAGGGGTCCACTGAGGGCAAGTGGGGTCCCATGAGGTGAGTGGGGAACTCGTGAGCATGGGGATGGGTGAGCAAGGCTGATGCCCATTCCCTGGCAGGTATGGAGAGAAGGGCAAGGCCATCCGCATCGAGAAGGTCATCTACACGGGGAAGGAGGGGAAGAGCTCCCGGGGCTGCCCCATCGCCAAGTGGGTGAGTACCTGTGCCTCGGATCCTGTCCCCCCTCAAAACCCTCCCTCCCAGGGTAATGTTCCTGCCTGTCCCCTCCCTGCCTGGGGACCAGCAGGACCCTGCCAGTGGTGGCTGCAGCAGGCAGGATGCTCGATCTGTGGCTGGGAAGATGGAAGTGAGAGTGGTGGCCACCCCTGGGGAAACACCATGGGGCTTTCCCACCCTCGGCAGCGCCTGCTGAATGGCATGTCCATGCCTGCAGCCCCTGGGCTTGGGCATGACCCCCAGCGTGGCACCACAAAGCCCATTGGGGTGAATGCACCCGTGGGAGCTCCAACAACTCTGCCTTCCCAAACTCCCACTGCGGAAGGCAGCCAGGACCCAGTTTTGGGGTCCTCCACATAGAATCAACCAGGTTGGAAAAGAGCTTTAAGCTCATCAAGTCCCACCACTCCCCAGCACTGCCAAGGCCACCACTAACCCCTGGCACTGAGGGTCTGGTCTACAAGGTTAGGGAACACTTGCAGGGCCGGTGACTCCAGCACTGCCCTGGGCAGCCTCTTCCAATGCCTGAGCACCCTCTGGGCAAGGAATTGTTCCTCAGCTCCATCTAAACCTGCCCTGGGGCAGCCTGAGGCCATTACTGGGAAGTGTTTGCTGTTGGAGTGGTCTGACCCCTCTCGTTTTCCAGGTGATCCGGAGACACAACCAAGAGGAGAAGCTGCTGTGCCTGGTGCGGCACCGGGCTGGCCACCACTGCCAGAATGCCGTCATCATCATCCTGATCCTGGCCTGGGAGGGCATTCCCCGCACGCTGGGGGACACCCTGTACCAGGAGCTCACCGACACCCTCACCAAGTACGGGAACCCCACCAGCCGCCGCTGCGGCTTGAACGACGAGTAAGTCACACCACACCCCTGGTCCCGTTGGGAATGGGATGGGAAGAGGATACGGGGGGCGTGGGGGATTGCTTGCTGTTTTCAGAGCTGCCATCACCCCGCTGGTGGCTGATGTTCCTCCACGGTGTCCCTCCTGCAGTCGGACCTGTGCGTGCCAAGGCAAGGACCCCAACACCTGCGGCGCGTCCTTCTCCTTTGGCTGCTCCTGGAGCATGTATTTCAATGGATGCAAATATGCCCGGAGCAAAACTCCTCGCAAGTTCAGGCTGGTGGGAGATAATCCCAAAGAGGTGGGTGACACGGGTGGGGTTGTGGGTTTGGACTTCCTTTTACCCTCAAGTTTTGCAGGGGAGAGGCCAGAAAATAAGATTCCTTGTGGGATTTTTGATGAATTAGGGAAATCATAGAATCCCAGACTGGTTTGGGTTGGAAAGGATCTTAAAGCTCACCCAGTTCCAACCCCCTGCCACAGGCAGGGACACCTTCCACTAGAGCAGGTTGGTCCAAGCCCCTTTGTCCAAGCCGGCCTTGAACACTGCCCGGG